AGACCTGTTTCCTTAATCTGTCAAAATACGGGTCACATAATTAGTGAAGAAAGTCCAAGCTTCACACCAACAGTGGTGACTCTACAGACCTTGGTGAGTGTGATATTTATCTGATATATTCCCCTCCCTTTACTATGTGACATGAAGAGATCACGTTCTGTGACTACACTGTGAACACACTAATCAAAACCTTTCCCCTCAAATAAGAGGCCACTGGATAAAATGCCAGACAAAGAGTAAGTATTTTAATCTTTTTTCTTATTCAGTTCTTTAAAACCCAAATCAAAACCCACTGGTGACCATTTGTGAGGGAGCAAATGTAATGCCCAGGAAGTGGCTTTTCAGAATCTACCCGACTGCATGAGGCAGGATGGATGTGACAATCGGTTGAGGTGTAACCACCACTCTGAGTGCCCAACAGGGGTCTTCTCTTGGCTGCCTGTGAATTGCCTCCTGTTCACATGCCAGATAGAACAGGTAGAACTTAACAGCCTTAATAGGAGCCCATTCACAATGGATAAAGGAAACGAGCCTATGGGACTAGGGTGAAAGATTATGGCTTTAAAGTAATGTGTCTGCCTTTCAGATTGACGAGGTGTAGACTTGTGATGGGCTGTATCAATTGACAACTTGACAGGATCTAGAATTACCAAGGAGACAAAGCTGGATATATCTGGGAGGGAGTTTCCGGGCCAGGTCAATAGAGATGGGAGACCCACCCTAAATGTGGGCAGTATCATTCTATAGGATAGCATCCTGGACTGAGTTAAAAAGAACGAGACCCAAGCATGAGGGATCCAAAGCTCTCCGTGTAGTACTGTGGGTTCACTGAGAATGTGACAGCTATCTTAGCCTCTTGATACTAGGCTTTTCTTCATGGCTGTCTATTTCACTTTGAACTGTAAGCTAAGATAAACCTTTTAAGTTGTTTTTTGTCACAGCATCTAGAAAAGTAACGAAGGCAATACACACATTATCATTGGCTATAAAGAGGTGTGGAATCGGGTCACTTTCAGGAAAATGGATGGAAATGGGATGATTGTATTAAAATAAGCTGTTCTCAGAAAGACAAAACATTGCATGTTTTCTTTCAGGAGGGAGCCTCTAGATTTTAAAGTCTTAAAAATAGAAAGGGGTTGTTTGGGGAATGGTGTTTTTAGAGTCGGGGGTGGATAGGAGAATGAAGAGGTGGGGCATAAGACTCAGTGTCTACACATAGAAGACGTCATAACAAAGCCCATTATTTTAAACAAATAATTTATACCAAGAAAGGCCCTGACACATGTGTTAATGGCTCTCTTCCTATAGTGGAAAATGATTATTTCTGCTCAGAAGACTGTCCTACCTCTGTCTAATGTAACACTGTGCATCCAGATTTCCTCAGGCATGTCCTGGCTTCTACACCCTAAGACTTGAGTAGCTTTAGGCTTGTACAAGTTGTACAAGAAGTGGGTTATCTTACAGTGAGGATTTTAGTTGAAAGAATCTGAGCCTGGAGGGTGGAAAGGAATGCTCTATATGTCATTAGGTAGCATGGTCCCCCTCACCCTTCAGATGTGAGTCATTCTTCTCCATCAGATTACATTGGCATTTTAGATCCCCCACCCCTCTCTCCATGGCTTGGGCTGAGTGAACCTTCCTGGGGAGACAGGCTTGGCAGAACTTAGCATCTACATTGAAGGAGGATGCCAGAGAGTTCTGAACTGTCCTACAGGTGTAGAATAGCAAGTGCAGAGTGAGCAGAGATTCCTCAGGAGACACCTGGTTTGTGTGCAGTGGGGATCCAGAGTCACAGGCCTGCAGAGCTGTTAGACGTACCTATCCTCTTCCCCAGAAAGCAAACAAGTCCTCTTCAATACCGTGCCAAATAGGGTCAGCTAGAATCTCTTCTGGAAGACTTTCCTATGTATTTTCTCTCCCATTGTTTATAATCACACTAAATAAATACGAAAACAACTCGATTTTACAAAGGAAGACTTGGTTTGTAGATGGCAAGAAACACGGGTATTCCTAGGAAAGAGAACTGGGCTTTCTTTCCTGCATAGTTTTGCTGCATACCCTCATCTCAAGAAACTCACAACTGCCCTCTCATGGCAAGAAACCCATTATATGTATTATGGGTCAATGGTGAGAAATCTCTTCCTTTAGTGGTGTTAAAATTTGTTCCTATTTGCAGTCCTGCAAACCTGTCCCCCTTTATATATATATATATATATATATATATATATATATATATATATATATATATATATATATATATATATATCTTTTATGTGGGACAAATGTGATTATTTTCATATGTCAGGCCTTTTGAAATCTATGGAGAGACACCCCCTCCCACGCCCATGTCTACTGCTACTCTTCCTTCAATTGCATGGTCCTGTTTCTTTCTAATGTCTTCAGGGAGACATCACACTCTAAATGAGGCTTAAAGTGAGGCTCTGGGCTGAGGACCCAGCTCAATGGGGGAAAGCATTTGTGTGAGTGCTGCAATTTGGACCCCCAGCACTTATATAATCTCCAAATATCTGTAATCCCAGGTCTGGGGAAGTAGAGAAAGAGGCTCTCCAAAGCAAACTGGTTTAGCTAACTAGCTAAACTAGTGAAATTGGTGAGCCCAGGGTTCAAGTGAGAGACTTACCCTCAAATATATAAATTGTAGAGCAATTGAGGAGGACACTTGGCATGAACCTCCTACTTCCACAAACATGCAGAAGTTCTCGCATGCAAACAAGCATACACACACACACACACACACACACACACACACACACACACACACACACACACACACACGCCCAAAGAAGAGAGAAGTTTGTATTTTGTTGAACTCTGGGGTTGGGCAGAATGTCTTATTTAGGGACACAAGACTCCAGCATTGTGGTTTAGGTAACAGAGAAGCTTCTTCTGGCTGCATGTGGAGTTAGAGGCAGTGTTGAGTGACTGACAGCATTGTTCTGAGTCCTCAGCACAGGCTCCTAGGGACGTCACTGTCCTCACTTCTAGCCTAGTAAAGGAAATTGCATCTATGGAAATAGATCCCTGTCTTCTCCATGGACAGGTTTGGAAATTTGCCCATCAATTTTAATCTTGTTCAGGTGCCTTGGTAGCTAAAAAGAAGGTAAGAAATGTCACCTCATCCTGTATGATCACAAGAAGAGGGACCCCCCACTACTGGAAGGGAGAGAGGAGAGATGACTCCTAGAGACAATGGCAGACTCTGTCGAATGAAGACAGACATAAAGAGCACACGTCAAGGGGACAGACCTCATTGGCCAGAGAACAGGAACAGGAAGTATCAAGCCTCTAACTTCACCTCTAGCAAGCAGCTTATGAAGTGTTTGGCTCTGAATGGTGTTTACAGTATGTTCTTTTCTCTCTTTATCACAGAGATAATGATGCTTTAGCTTATTTATCTATTAAACTGAATGGCTTTGCAGTGTGATGGAGCTGATGTGGTTATCCCCAAAGCTTAAAATGTTTGAATTGTGTTATCTGTTTCAGGTAGGTGGCTTATGAATGCAAAGGTTAAAAAAATCGTATTATTCCCCATTGGGACCCCCTTAACCACTTCAAGCTAGTGCCTTCTTGATCCTTCCCAGTAATGGGCTGTGACATGGAACTGTGAGCAAAAATAAACCCTTTCTTCCCAAGTTACTTTTCCCAGGGTATTTTTATCACCCCCAAAGAACCATGATACCAAGACAGACAGGCAATGCAGTGACTTTTTTTTGCTACTCTCCACACCATCTGGATCCTCTTACTCCTCTCTTGATGTCCATTCCTTCGGGTGGATTCTGTGATGGAAACTGAGCTCCCTACTCTGGAAGCTGCATAAACTCTGCCATTGCCTTCAGCTGGAGTCTGTGTTAGTTAAGTACATTGGTGGCTGTGCAAGGGGCATGAGTGACTGCCAGGGGCCTCCCTTGCTGTGCTGTGTCTCATCTACTAAGTTGAGGAGTCTATGGGAAGTTTTCAACTTGGCCAATCATGTCCTTTCTATTAATACATTGGGACCCCAGGACAGGAGCACCTGTTGGTCTGTAGAATGAAGGGAGGTATTAGAGAGAAATTGGAGATAAAATTCAAATTTATCCTTAAACGTTCACTCCAAATAGGAGAGCCACAGTAGCCCTTCAGGTCTCTGGATATCTGCATCAATTCATCTGCATCCTCTAGCTGTTGGAGGACCTGAATAGTCTTTACCCAGCTCTTGGCATGCAAGAAGATGCTAATAGGAATTTCTGGGGGCCTGAGAAGGCTCACATCTGGGAATTGGGAAGGAAGTGTGGATTCCCACTGGGATGCTCAATTACTTTGCTGCTCAGATACCATGTGTTACTGCAGTTAGAACACTGTGGCCTGGTAAGGTACCCGAGCTCTCAGCTGACTGGGTAATTAGGACAGCTCTATTTTCCACAGTCACATGCTGCCACCTGGCGACCAGACTTGGCTAACTTTTCAGCTCCCACTGCTTCTGGAAAACCCAGTCATGCCAATGTTTCGGCCAATGGCAGTCAGCCACAGTGACATCCATGATCTGTGCATGATGCTGGTGACCCTCAGTGGCTCATTCTTCACCCACCAGAACTTTCTCTGAGTCTTTCTGAGGAATATATCCAGTAGGCTGGTTTTGTGAGCCCTATTCCAATACTAGAAACAGTCTGGGGTGTCCACTTTTTAAGCTCCTTGACTCTAGTTTTCTAGGTCTGATATCTAACTCTGATATAGTTACTTCCTTTAATGCTGGCCATTTCTCTAAGCTTCTATGAGAACATGTGAGAACAGTTGCCCTGGATCCTTTTTCTGGATCTTAATTCTTGCTGAAGAAGAATGTCTCATGTCAGTAAGACCTCCCTTACCTTCTCCTGGTTTAGGACCAGGATTCTTTCTCCAGCATACCCTCTAGGGTCTTGATCATATACGTAGCCTCAGTGTACATCAACGCTGACCTGTCATCCCTCCTGTGTCTGATCACACCCTTCATTTTCCCCTTTCAGTGTCCATGATGGGTGACTCCAGCTACTGGTCTGATACTTGGAAGGAGCGAAGCCTGAGCCAGGGAAAGCCACCATTGTCTTATCCAGCTCCGACTTGTATAGGTTTCTTCAAGGCCGTCACGTGAGGAGGAATGTGTCACCTCTGTGAACCCACTATCTAAGCTTGTCTCTGGACTCTCAAAGTTCAAGGGTTTCAGCAACACCTATGCACACAGCCCTATCCCATTGGAGTCACATTTCCTCACCAGGACTGACTTTGGCCTGAGTCCTGTCTGATTCAGGAACTCTGTCTTTACATTGCTATTGCTACTTCAGGCCATCTCTCCTCCTAATCTTCAGCTCTGTCTTCTGGTTACAGGAGATGCTGCAAAGCCACAGGCTATATATCCTGTGACACCTGTTTTTATCCTTAGCACCTGCTAACATTAATATGATACCACAGTTCCATTCTCTTGGTCACAGGGCTGTGAACCTCTGTCACCATAAGTTGGTGTCAGGACACTTCTGTCACTGCGATGAGCCTGTCCACGTCAGGGCTGAGGAACTGTCTCAGTCAACACAGTGTTGGCCGTGCAAGCATGAGGATCGGAATCCAATCTCTAAGACCCATTTTTAAAGTCTGGGTGTGGTGGCAGGGCTTGTAGTTTCAGTGCAGGGAGCTGGAAACACCTGGGCTTCTGAGGATTGCTGAGCAGGCGGTCCTGCCTAATCTGTGAATTCCAGGCCAGGCAGAGACCTGCCTCAAACAAAAAACCCCCAAACTCCAAAACCAAAGTGGATGTCACCAAACAGTGGCATCTGAAGTTGACCTCTGGCTTCTACATGCACAATGTACACAAACATACACACATATGAACACCCCCCATCACACCTAGCCACTAGCCACTAATACAAACACACAATACACACATGATGGCATATATATACACACATATACACACATACAAATGTATATGTACATATACATAAATGCATAAACACACACATATATCTATACCACATATACACAAACACATACAAATATATACACATATGTACAGATATACATATGCATATACATACACATACATACAAATGCATAAGCACATTACCTTCACAAACACACACAAGTACACATTCATACATATATACACACATATACTTACACAATACACATACACACAAACACAAATACACATACATGCACATATATGCATGCACACACACACACACATATACACACACACACACACACACACACACATGAGCATGCACACACACACAAAGAGACCACAACAAACCGTTTCTGCGAACACAGTTTCACTTGTTCTCTAAAACCCAGCACTCCGGAGCAGAAGGCAGGCTCACCCTCTCTCCTCCATCCCTCCTCTTCTTCGCTCCCCAGCTCACTTCACCACAGTCCCCATGGGGGCTCTCTGTTCACTGAACATGCAGACCTGAGCTCTGTCTCATGGACTTTCTTACTCTCTCCTCTGTTCGGAACGCTCTTCTCTCCACACCTCTGTGGCTCCCCCTCTTTCCCTTCTTCCCCAACTGTTATCAACCTTCGCTCCATTACCATCTCCTTCAAGTATTCCTGGCATTCTACTTACACCACCGCTCCCCCAGCCCCCGTGGGTGCTTCGATTCCCCTCTGACCTCCTCTATGTGCCCCCTCAGACCCACAGCCTTATTCCCTTGCACACTGTGTTTTTGTATGTCACTGTCTAGCTTATCAGTTAGACTGACAAAGCCTCTCTTCAGTCAAAACCGCCAGTTCTGGGTGCTCAGTGATTCCTAGAATCAAGGGAAAAGTCCACTCCCTGTTAGATTACACATCTGCCCCTCGGCTCATGCTGTGCACCTGCTGTGCCTGGGACATTCTTCCCGGGAGATCAGAAGCTCACAGTGAGTTCCCAGGAGTGGCAGTCACTGCTTTAGTTACAAGCCTTTGCCTCTGGTGATCAGGGTATGAAGGGCAGTCATGGATCATAGATGCATCTAGTTCAGTTTACAAAAACATCCCAAAAAACAAAAAAGCAAACCCAAAACCTAGGCTGAAGGCCAAGAAGTGACTTTCCAGAGTGAGCCTTACCTGCTGATGAGAAACAGTGTGCTTTCTGTCAGCCAAGCCCTTCTTGACTTATGCATAAAGTAACAGTTTGGGGTAACTTTTGGAATTAATTATTATAAAAATAATAAACACTATCATTGTTGAGAAAAGAAGTATTTGGGTATTTGCCAGAACTTCACATACCCCTTTTTACTTAATTGTTTCACACCCAATAAATGGTTGTATAATAGCCCCGCATATTCACATACACAATAGATGACTATTAAGATAACCTTCCATATTAGTATACACAATAAATGATTACTAAAATAGCCTTTTGTGTCAGCACACACACTTGTACTTCATATAAGCTTCAGAAGCCACAGCCAGCTCAGGCAAGGTGACCGGATTCTGCGGATCATGAAAGGCAAAGACTCACCACGGCATTCATCCAATTATTCAGTAAGCATTTATTGGATATCTACCGTGTGCTGTCAATTGTCCTAGGCCCCAAGATTCCAATGATAAATAATAGAGTCAAGGCCTTTATAAGACAGAAAGATGGCAAATGATTAAAAAGTAATTTCAGATACCATTGCACTTGAAAAAATAGTCATAGTAGAAACTGGATCATGAAAAATAATTTCCAAGATGACATTGGAACAGAGGACCTGAAGGGAAATGACAGATCAGTCATATACTGTGGCGACAGAGTAGTACAGACTGAGATACAAAGTCCAGAGTTCCTTGTGGCAGAATAGGATAATTGTGTGAAGGGGAAAATCACGCAGCATAGGATAAAAGGGGGAATGGGTGGGATAAAGGGTGCAGTCAAGACAACAAGGGCCTCTGGTGAAGACTGTGGTCAGTGGCTTAATGGGGAGTCACATGTCCTAGTTGACTCTTTGAAAGTACATGATGGTTGATAACTGTACCACATGACTTAGAGAACCAAAAGGGGAGGGATGGAGGGAGAGATGTCTCAGAACTTAAAGCACTTGTCCCCCAAGCATGAAGACCAAAGTTCAGATCTCAAGAAGCCAGTAAATGCCAAGTGGGCACGGAGGCCTACCTAGAATTCTATCCTCAGAAGGCAGAGATGGATTCCCAGCTAGATCTTGCTGGATAGTGAGACAAGCTGTATTGGTGAGCTCCAGGTTTGATTTAGAGGCCCTGTCTTAGTGAATAAGGTGGAAGAGAGATTGAGGATGATGGATAATGTGTCCTGACAACCTGGGCCCTCCATCCACATGTATACATATCCACAATGCATGTGCACCCACCCACACACCTGTAAACATGCTTACACATGTGCACATACACACACACAGTTGAAAAGAAACAAAAGAAACATGTATGGAAAAAAATCAAGAGAAGACAGTGGCAGAGAGAAAGAGACCATGCCATGTAACTATGAAAGGCCATCTCTGCCATTGCTGTCATAGGTCATACCACTGCTGTGTGACTGGATTCCTGTAAGTCTTCCTGATGTCACAGAGGGTTGGTGGCTCACATACTTGGTTAATCCATCAAGAGGAGACACATGACTTCTCATGGATTAGTGCTCTGATAAGATGGCTCTGCAAGAATTCAAGGAGTGCTCTTTAGGCAAATAAGTGGGACACAGACTCAGCAGAGAAATGTCTTAGAGAGTCTTATTACACAGTCACACATTGAAAAATTTAAGTGCTTTTTGAATAAGAAGATCTGGTGTTGTGTTGTCTAATCTGAAGCCTCTTGGTTGGGAACCATGCTTTGCTCTTCTCCATAGAACACTCACATGGTCTGGAACAAATGGGTCCTGTCAAAGAGAATTAGAGTAAGAGACAAGCATCTTCTGCAACCACATGTGTGACTGTGCTGTTGGCTGTTCTCACATCACTTACCCACTGGAGCTGTCCTTGTCAATCAAGTATGAGGTCAGAATAAGGGCTCATTATTCTAGTTTCCTCTTTGTTGCTGCAATAAAACACCTTTGCAGGGGGGTGGTGGGGGAGGGAGAAAGCAACTTAATGAAGAAAAGGTTTGTTATAGCTTTCCATTTCAGGTTACAGTCCATCCTTGTGGGGACGTCAAGGCAGCAGAAACTTGAAGCAGCTGGTCACATGGCACCCACAGATAAGAGCAGAGAGAAAGGATCACAAGGATGCTATTGCTCAGCAAACATTCTCTACTCTGGAGCAGTCTAGGGCCCAGACCCAGAGAATGGTGCTGTCCACTCTCCAGCTGGGTTTTGGCATAATTAAGGCAGAGAAGGCAATCCCCGCAGACACACCCACAGACCAACCTGGTTCTGACAGTCCTTCATGGAGATTCTCTTCCCAGGTGATTCCAGACTGTATTATGTTGTCAGTTGAAACTAACGATCTCAGTCACTAATGTCACTTTCTTCTACCAAAGAGAATGGTTTTGGGCAAAACTGCCAACTCTCATTAAAGGACAACTTTGTGGTGCAGCTTCCAACCACCTTTCATCTACCTTGGCCAATCCTTGTCTTGCTTCTTTATGCACTGTGCACATTTTCATCATCTTCCCTTGCAAAGATGACAATTGATACATGAGTTGGATGGGTCTGGATTGCCCCTGACCAGAGGTCTGGCTCACCCAGAGAGTTTCAGCACCATGAAAGTTGCTCTGAGCGACTAACTGGATCTAGAATTGAGTTGCACACTAGGTAACAGCCCAGGGAGAGAGGGATGGGATATTCATACTCTGTCTCTGCTCTCGAAGCCCACATGCTTCAAACCCCAAAGGTTATGTTTCTTAGGAGAAAGGATGGAGAAGATGGTCTCCTTTCCAAAGAGAAACTCTGCAAACAATGAGAATGTGTGTTTCTGCGTGCTGAGTGCTGCCTTCGCCTGATTTCCCAGAAGTCCCTGTCTGCCTCCTTTCCTCTATCCCACTCATCCTGAAGTTCAGCTTTCAGTGTATTTCCCAGAGTTTTAAGCATTTGCAAGCTGCATCTCTGGGAATTAGTAGAAAACACAAGGAACAGGCAGGGCATGGAAGAAGAGCAGGCTTCCAGTAGAAGGAATAAGGCTGGGAACCAGACCCGGAGGTCTCTTTCCTTCAGTCCTGATGAGACCAGAACTATAGTGAGACAGAGCAACTGTGGTCACCTACACTTGACCTTCTCAACTCTGCAAAAATCTCCCCTCAAAGGGAAGAGGGATGTTTTATTCCAGAGCCAAATATGAGTGGTCATGGCTTGGGAACATGGATGCAATTTGTCCTAAAATGCCAACTTCCAGTGTGGAAACAGTTTCGTATTTTTCTGGTTGAAAGACAAGAGAGGGTTCTAACGAAGGACACTGAGTAGGAGGGTTACCAAAGTAGGGAAGAATCTACTGTAGGCATCAGACATCATCTAGCAACATATTGGTGGAAGACAAACCATTTGCCTTCTCTGCCTCATGGGACTGTTACCTGCAGTTTTTAGTCACAATCTATAGATTAAAAGCCCAGCTGTGTAGTCATGGAGCCTGTGTTGAAATTTACATTCTGTCCCCCAAACTGTGTGACCAGATGACTCATATGAACTCAAGTCTATCCATAGGTACACATGCTATTGTGCTTATCTATTAGGGTTGTTGGGCTCAAGTGAGATCTTTGATGTTGGAGAACTGATTAGCCCAGAACTGCTTCACCAGTTGCTAGGTCAGTTGTCATTAACAGCAAAATATAGCTGGGATGATTCATGCTTTAATCCCAGCACTTAGGAGATGGATATGGCAGGATCAAGGTCAGCCCCAGTTATATAGTGAGTCAGAGCCCAGCCTGAACCACATGAGGGCCCTTTCAACACATCTGTGAGCATGTGTGGACACACATATTTTACAGAAAAGATTATATTAGTATGCACAAGACCTTGTTTCAACTCCCAACACTGT